CTGACTCTGAATATTTATTACTATAATTGTTTTTAAAACATAGTATAACTACTAACAATCTACAACATTATTTTAACATAACACATGAGAATATTTTTTTATATATTTAATGATTTTCAAATGCAGTAAAAAATAAATAATGACTAAAAAAAAAAAAATATAAAATTAAGAAAATATTTTATTTTTGTTAAACATTTTTTTTATTATTGCCTATCAACCCATCTGTATAAGATTATAATAATATAATGCTGAATAAAAACGTTAACAAAAATAAAAATAAAAAAATACCTTTATATATGTTATTGCTGTACAAGCTTTATATGATTTGTCAGGCTATAATAATTTTTGGTAAACTTAAAATAATATAAAATATAAATATTTTAAATACATTTCAGCCAATTTCCATAAAGTATGGAACTGAGTAGCTTTATGCTATCATGTATATTGAAACTTTGATAGCTATTTTCAGCTGTCTTAAATAACACCACTCGTCGGACTTTTTTCTGTTGATATGCATAACTTAATGTCGTCTAAAATAACACCATTAGTTTATCCTCAAATATACACGCAGATAAATTATTTTAGAGAAATTTTCATGTACGAATTGCTTAGTCCTAAATTTATCAATCACTTAGTTTTGTTAAATATTGGTAAATAATCTCATAGCGAAATGTTTGATATTTTCATTGTAATCGCTAGAAAATCCATGTTTAAACAAATTCTCGTAATTAGTATATCTAATACCATCTATATAAATACAGGGCAAGGGCGGATCCAGGGGGGGCACTGGTGGCAAGTGCCACCCTCGTTGGAAAAAATAATAAAAATTTTAGTCTCGAAATTTTTTTTTTGTTGGGGTATATATCTATATTATAAAGTGCCCCAACCGTAAATACATGCTGGATCCGCCCATGATACAGGGCCGACTGAAGGCATGTGCTGGAAGTCATTCGCACAGGGCGCAAAATATGACCACCATGAAATATCATCAACATCGAGTAGGTAGGGTATTTTATTGAACATACTTAAAACTTATAATTAGGTATTTAGGAACAGAATTATTAACTCCAAAAAATATGGAAAAGTTCAAAATCATCTAATTTCCTAAAATACCCATACCTCATAATTTTTGCTTTATTAGAATTATTATTGTTTATTTTATATGAATTCATAACATACATTATGGTATTTATAAGCATTGACTATAAATTATAAATAATCAATGATATAAATAATTACGTCACTGTTCTACTGTAGTCAGTATTAGCTTTTACACATCATTTCATATGGAATAAGATTACTTCATCATTCGTAGCTACCAAGTATCTAAATAATAAGATAATTGTACTTTGTACAGCAGTCCTGTAGCAGACAACGAGCCAGCAAATAAATAATTATTCAATTGTGAGGTATAAGTTAGACTTTTTACTCGAAAACGTTTTAAAAATATAAATAATTAATAGATATGGAGATATGTAATTACAGCAAAATAAAATACAAGTTCTTAAAAACATTTATAAGTTAAAAAGTACATTAACATTATTTATGCAAAAGCAACTATTATTTTTTTATTACTTGTCCAGAAATAAATTATAAAACAATGCAAGTGATGTAATATAAATATTTTTTTCTGGACAAGAAAACCTATAGACCTATTTAATCTAGAAAACTTTTTTTTAATTTTATATAGTTTTGCATATTTTGACATAATTGAAATATGTCAAACTGAATTTAATAATTATTAATATAATAGTCATATACAAATGTTAAATTCTGTTTTTTTAATAACACACTCAATACTCATTGGATCATTTGAAACCTACACCAAAAGATTTGTCATCTCTTCTTACCCTAAAATGGTCTACTTAATGTTTATTTTGTTTTTTTTTAAATTGTCTTAAAATCATAAAAATATTTATCATTCTAAATGTACTAGTATTATAGACATATACAAATGAAAAATTTTATTGTTTAAATAACACACTAAACCAAAATATTGTTCATGTTTTTTACTCTGCAAGTACCTATGTTTTCTCTTTTAATTTTGTATTTTTTAACAGATTTTTGAAGTCATTAAATAATTTATCTTGATATAAAATACTATAATACTAAAATGTCTGCGGTATACTCATTGGCAGTTACAACAGGGAAAAAGCTAAGTTTTAAAATGTACTTTTTAAAATTGTTATATCTGGTCACCATAAGTATAGTGTATAATAGGTATTTGTGTTAGTATTTTCTATAAATATGATATTTATACTTATAGACTTTTATAGTATTTGCAAAGTATTTGTAAGTTTTATTTGATCACACAATATGATTATAAATTATAATCACAAGTGATAATGAAAATATGTTTGTAATAATATTAATTTCAATGTAGGTACTGTCTTGTATAGGTACCTATGTTATATGAATATGATATATCAGTAAAATGTGTTAAACTTACTCAACAAATTGAAATGTATGTCATATAAAGAAAATAAGTTATAGATTTATGGCTAGTTGATATTTAATTTAAAATTAAAATAATTATATTTTTTAATATATAGTATAACTATAGGTTATAATTTATAGTACATCTCAATTCCAGTTCTACATAGTGGACAGCGGTAATATGGCCTGTGTTTATTTGGTCGCATTCTTGTATAGCTTTCATGACAAGGTCCACATAAGCTTTGATGTAAACATGGATAAGCTATTACTGTTGACGGACTGTACAGGCATATGCAGCATGTTTCCTCTATTATTGGTATAACTTTAAAATAATAAAACATCTTTATTTTTAATCAATTACTTAAGCTAGAAACACATTTCAGATAATTACTACTTACATGTCAAATCTTCAGGTTCAATGTGATTAACTGATGGTACCACAGGCTGTTCGTTAAATGAAACTTCTTCATCTGAATAATCTGCATCAAGAATATCAAAAACTAAAGACAATAGATTTATTCGTTAGTATATTTACTTGGAAATCTGTATAAGTAATATTATAATGGAAAATCATACGATTTCGAGGAACATGCACTACTGGTCTACGTGGTAAAATCCTCCTTATAATTTCCTCATGAATCAGTTCCTGATGGCGATCAATGTACAGTGGTACTATAGCTGGTGCTTCGAATGGTGGTACCTGTGATGAAACAGCAGCAGGGAGCACAGGAATAGCTTGATGTTGCAGTTCCTGATGTTGATCAATAGGGAGTGGTAATATAGGTAGTGGAGCACGTGGACCGACAGCAACAGGAAGTATATCCATAATTGGCGTTGAGGATCTCTTACTTGATTACCATCAGTGGCCTCATCATAATCTCCCAAAACACTATTCGAGTAAGTAATTAGCCCCTCTGTACATATAAAATAGTGATATATTTTTTTTCTAATGTTAGATAAATAGAAATATAATTACTCAAAAACACCAATGAATTAGAATTGTGCCGATTTTGCATGTGTATCTGGAGATATTGGTGACTTACTTCCAACACATTGTTGGTTTCCCAAACAGTGTCACTGACTGACAATATATCTGCAATAATTTCTATTGACAATGGAGTAGAATAAGTAGTTATACATTTGTATAATTTTATGAACAAAATATAAACTATTAATTTGAATTTTACAGACCTGCAAGCCATGTTGATCGAAAGTATTCAAACAGTAATGAAAAATTGTAATCCTTGTTATTGCTAATCAATGATTAATAATTACAAATTCTCAATACAGAATTCCATGACAGTTTCAAAATCTTCGGCTATACAACTTTGAGGCAACAATAGTAATGCCATCAACATATGCACAAATACACAGTGTCATCGTGTCATGGCTCCTCGATGGTTACTAACATAAACATATTTCAATTTTTAAGTTTCAAGTTTTTAACCAAACCAAAATATTAACGCAACATACCACACTAACAAAATTCCCAAATTTCCCAGACATATGTAAACACTGCGCAAACCTCCTCATAAAAGCAAACAGCCAACACTCAATCGACAATCAGCCAAGCAGCAGGCGGTCTACTGTATCGTCTGTATCGTTTAAATAATAATCTGGCCATAAGGCGACGTTTTTTAAATGAACAACTAATTAATTTTATTAAAAACTAGTTTTTAAATATTAAGCAACTGTTTTACTATAATGTTATTATAAATGTGTTAGAATTTACGTTAGGTCACTTATAAAACTTCAATATTCATTGGATCATCTTGAAACCATCACCAAAATACTTGTCATCATTTCTTACTCTAGAATAATCTACAAAATGTTTATTTATTTTTTTTTTTACAGTATTATAAAATCTTAAAATTATATTTCATTCTAAATGTAGGAATATAACAGTGATATACAAATGTAAAATTCTATTTTTTGAATAACTTATTCAATATTTATTGGATCATCCTGAAACCAACACTAATGTATATTTCATCACTTTTTACGTTATTATTGTCTACTCAAAGTTTATTTTATGTCTTTAAACAGTTTTAAATAAACATATTTCATGCTAATTATACCAGTCGTGTTTTACTGTTCAATATACTCATTGTTTAAATACACTCTCAATATTCATTAGATATTCTGGTAACCTAAAACCAAAGATTTGTTTCATGGTGCTAACTTATGAAAAATTATAATCAAGTTAACCATGTAATTTCATTGATTTAAAATTAAAAACTTTTTTTATACAACAATAACTACACATATATAGATTTACAAAACCCTTAATTAAATTATACACTCAATATTCAATGGACCATTTTGAAACCTACATTTAAAATATTAATTTGAGCTCCCTAGCATAACAAACTTTGTATAAAACTATAAAATACTGTTGTTAAAAGTTATGAAGTTTTTGAGTTGAAAAAACCATGTTATCATAGTTGACGTTTATCTCTTATCAATGTTAACTGGTACATTTTAGACAACGTATAGTTTATCAGATAATTATGAAAATAAATAATCAATTTGATATTATTTTTCACATTGCTTTACAACAATGATTATTGTGTGCAATGAGTCATAGTGTGTACAGTAAAAACTGTATTATCGTACTTTTAACAGTATTCATATTGGTTCATTCAGTGTCAGTTGTCATTCAATTGTTTGAATACTTTGTTTTTTTCTACTATATTTGAAGGTTTAAATCAGGTAATTGCCAATGCTTTATGAAAGAATACAATTCTATTTTAGTTTAAAAAATACCCATTTCATCGTTTCTTCGCGTACCATTATCAAGTAATTTTTTATCATCTGTTTTAGTATAAGCATCAAACATACACCAAAGTATAATGCGTATACAATTTTTTCAAGAGACCTGGATTCGTAGTGTTAAGATTAATATTGAAACGAGACGAGTTAGATCAAACATAAAGGTGAGTTTATGACTATATATGTATATGGATATTTTACTTTTTAGCGATATAGAGATAATTGAAACGTTTCGTTTTCAAACAGTCTTTGAGAGTTTAAAAGTAAGATGTTTCAAAAATGTTTGGATTTAATAGGTGTTGTTGTATTTAATTTCGATTTATAATAATATGTAGTCTGCTCGTAGGTTATGGTTAATAACATAAAAGTGTAATATTGAAGGAGAATATTACTAATATTTTGTGAGCTGGATGTGATTTGTATGAACTCATATTCTGTGTTGTTGTTCGTGTTGAATGAAGGGAATCGGAGTTCCGTGACCTTCACAGCCAACAAATCCAATGTCAAAATTCAAGAAAAATATTTTGAAGTATTCTTATAAAACAACATATTTTGTGTTGTTAAATTATTTTTATTTTACGATTATTGATTTTAAACATAAAATATCAGATTAAAGTGTTTTGATGTACAACTAGGTCTTATATAAACGTTAGCCTGGCTTTGATAGTTAAAGTTACACGTTTTATTTAATTAAAACGTTTTATAAGAATTCAGCATATTTTATAACAATATTGTCTTATTAGTGATGAGTTTTGTTAGAATACTTGTAGGACATTAATACTACTTGATCATTATGGAACCAAACCAACAAAGTTTCCTTTAGCAATACGTAACTGAACGAAGTACATCAGA